TTTCCACTTCAAACAATCTTCTCCAGTGGTAATATCCTGTCCTTGGGTTAAGCCACTAGTAATGAAATGATTTGATTACTTCATTCATAAAATGGCAACTATAATTATATGTTTCCATTTATCTCACACGTTTCTAATGTTTGAAGAGTCTCATATTGAGGAGAAAGCACAAGAAATAAAAGGCAAGGTTGAGGTGATTGCTGCAAAGGAGAAGATAATCAAAGAGAAATCAAATAGCGTTACATCACTGCAGAATGAAATTGGTTCTCTACAAGTGAGGCATATAAATCCCTTAACTCAGTTGTTTTATTCTTTTCCTGCTAATGGAATGAGTTGCTTGCCAAATGTATAGATGCCTTTTGATACCTGCATTATCAAAACTTGTGGTGTTTGTTTGTTAGAAAAAGGGATCATTAGCTGTCAAGGAACAGGTGGGGAAGGCACATGCACGAGCCGAAGAACTAGAAAAACATGTGGAGAAACTCAAAACAGTCATTGAAGTGATAAATAAGGAAAAGGAAGTATTCGAAACCCAAGCAAAGGAAGCCGCAAAGAAGACGGTTGAATTAGACGCTAAAGTTGAGAATGTAAGTTATTTCTTTGTCTACTGTGCCTGAAAATTGTTTTATCACCATAAATATGGCCTCAAGTTTCATTAGTTTTGTCTTTAAGTCACGAACTAGGAAATAATGATGATATATCGCTTGACTAGTCTCTCCTTTTTTGATTGATTATTATAATTTGGTGTCTTTGTTTATTAAAGATGAAATATGAGGAACATTGTTTGGGCATATATAGTGTAGCCTGTTTTGTGCATCGGTTATGAAAACTAATGGAACTAATATTACCTGTAAACCTAGGAAGAGGGCTGCCTAAAATCGCATGGAATGAGGTAAACGGAGAGGTTTTTAAGCATTGATAGTTTAGATCTGAAGATGTCTGTTGATAGTGTGACATTAGACATGGAGTAAGATGATCCATGTATCTGGCCCCATCTGAGGATGAGATGGAGTTTTATTCTTCTGTTTTTATGGTATTGACTTTTAGATGCTTAATGTTTTTCATATTGAAAAGTTAGGGACATCCTAATCATCTCATGAGCTAGTATATGTTGCAATGCATAAGCATATGATTAATGCGGTATGCATTAAAACAGAGAGACGTTTCAGCAGCTGAATTTTGTCAAAAGATACTATAAAGTTACATGACATATTGAAAAGCTTAAATTTCCTTGCATATGATGGTTGCACAGCCAAGTCTAATTTGTGTAGGACTGA